CGCCTTTGAAGGGGTTGCACCTTCTGCAGACGAAGCAGTGGGTCTATTTATATCCCCCCGACCCACTGGGGGTATATTGTTTTTAGAAGAATTTGGGAAATGGTCATACAGCACAGACCACTCAACATCTGGGACTAGGTCAAGGGAACAAAAGGTTAGGTCAAGAGATGAAATGCCAAAAGTGGATTTGTGTCTGTAAGGTAAGTGTAAATGGGGGACATATCATTCAAGAGACAGATGTTGTTTTGAAATAGAAATCTTGTTTTTTCCCTTCTGGTCTGTGGGTTTGTCTCCCAAAACGGGGCTGTGGGAATTAAAATCACCGAACAAAATAAAGGGTTTTGGGAGTTGGAGCTTTAGATCGTTTAGTTGGGTTATTTTGAGGGGATACTTAATTGGTGTGATATAAACAGAGCAGATCGTGATTGGTTAGTGCAAGGTGACCCGTATGGCATTAGCCTGGAGGGTTTTCCTAAGATGTACTTGTCTGTGAAGTGTGTTGTTGTTGGTGTAGATGGTGATTCCACAGGAGGCAATCTGGTTCTCCGTGTGAACATGATGAGTAAATCCTCTTAAGTCTCCGGTTGAAGCCGGGGCGAACTTTGTCTCCTGGATACTGGACACAAGTGGGTATAGGTGGCCTGTAAGTGTTGCAATTCTGCAATGGAAGGTCGGAGTCCGCCGGCATTCCATTGCAGAGCCGCCATTATGAGGGCTTCTTAGATTTGGAGCTGAACGGGCCCGGGCTTCGAAACACACTGACTCCTCCTTGTGGGGGAGGCAGAGGGTTTGCAGGCTACCGTCCTGGATTGGGTGGCAGCCTATTGGGGGATTTGGGAGAGGAGTGACGGGCTTCGCCCTTCCCGGGGACAGACCAGGGAGGGGGATCGGAGCTGTCCATTGGTAGTGGGGTGTCTGCTGGAGGGATAGGGGGAAATGAAGCAGACGGAGGGTGCTGTGAACAGGGGGAGGGGACTGAGAACAGGAGGGAGGGAGCACCTCACACTCCATCAGAGGTTAGGGGCGTGAGGTGGAAGGGAAAAAAGGGATAGAAGAGGGAGAGAGATAGAGAGAGAGAGAGAGAGAGAGAGAGAGAGAGAGAGAGAGAGAGAGAGAGGGGGGGGGGGGGGGTGGGGCGGGGCAGAGGAAGAGCCCACCCTGGCCTCCCCTAGAACCCCAAAGAGGTTAGAGAGTGGCTCCTTAAAGGTGGGTGCCACGGGGGTAGTAGGGACTTTTTAAAACTTTTGGTGCAGAGACTTGCCTGTTGACCGCGGGCTTCGGGAGGTCGGCAGTAGAAGTAATGACCGACCTCGAGACCACCCGGACTGCCTTTGCATATGACCGGCCAGGAACCTGGGTCACAACTGGCGGGGTGACAGTCTTTCGGGCCTTCTGAAATGAGCAGCCATTTCACACTTTGTGCTCTTGGATTGCACGTTCTTGGATCCAAGTCGGGCAATCCTGTTATGTTGAAGGCTGTGTGCTGGCTGTTGCAATTTGGGAAGCAAGGTCTAGCCTTGCATTCCTTTTCAGGATGCCCGGTCTTGCCACAATGAGGGCACACGGCTGCGTGTCGGCATTCAAACAGGCTATGGCCGAACTTCTGGCACTTGAAGCAGTGCAAAGGGTTCGGCACATACGGTGGCTCGAGGGCGACACGAATCGAAAGTGAAAATTATCGTGTTAGTTTCGAGGATGGTCTTCCACACCGAAGAGTAATCACACCCTCGCAACTTGCCACAATTTCTTCCATGCTGTAGCCCTTTAGATCATGGCTGCGGACGACGCCCTTGGAGCAGTTCAATGGAGTACCGCCGAAGGTCGTGTTATTCAGGAGTTTGGTCACTTTAGTCTCTGTTGCGCATTTGACAAAAGAATAAAAATAATAACATATAACATTTACATAGCGCATCCCCCCCCCAAAAAAAAAAAATTAGCCCAATGCGCTTTACA